CATACCGGACAAAGACATTTTCATCAAGGTACCAGACGGAGTCGATATAGACTTACCTCAAGGCTACGGACTAAAACTGCAGAAGTCACTGTATGGACTAAAGCAAAGCCCAAGGTGCTGGTATCGAGCCCTGAAGGACTTCTTCGTGTCAATCAACTTCGCTCCGGCGGAGGCAGATCCTTGCTTATTCATCCATCAAAACAAAAATCAACCCTGCTTCATCTTCGTACACGTCGACGACATGGTGATCATCGGACCTTCAGTTCAATTTGTCAAAGACAGCCTCGCCAAACGCTTTGAAATGGACGACCTTGGTGACTGCACTTGGGTCCTCGGAATGCGAGTCACTCGTGATCGTGACAAGCGAACCGTATCTCTTTGCCAAGATCGATACATTGGCGAGGTCCTCGAGGAGTTTGGGATGTCAGACTGCAGACCCATCTCGGCACCGCTTCCGCTGAACGCGCTGACGTGTCCTATCGATGAAAGCCCTGTAGACCCAAAATTCAACTATCGCAGGGCAGTGGGGCTTCTCAACTACCTCGTCCAGTGCACAAGACCCGATCTAGCATTTGCTTCAAGCTACCTATCCCAATTCCTCAACCGTCCATCAAAAACGCATCAAAATCATTTTCTTCACATCTGCCGATATCTCAAATACTCGGTAAACCTCTCCCTCACTCTCGGCAACGTACCCGGCGAGGACAGGCTCACGGCATATGCTGATGCGAGCTACGCCAGCGGACAGCAAGCTGCCTCCTTCCTTGGCAGCCTCGTGCTGTTCAATGGCCCTATAGGCTGGCGTTGCGCAAAACAAGACGACGATGGGCCGGCCATGTCGACAACGGAGGCGGAGTACAGGGCGTGCTCTGAATCGGGCCAGGACATTCGATGGGCAGAACAACTGCTTCAAGATATCCTGCCGGTACTGGACGTCTCAGAACTCAAAGCACACCTTCACTGCGACAATCAAGGGGCGATAGCTCTTCTCAACAATCCTCTTTATCAACACCGAACTCGACACATGGATGTTCGACACCACTGGCTTCGTCATCACATCCAGCAGGCATCGAACTTCACTCTCTCCTACATTCCAACTAACGATAATCTATCCGACTTACTCACCAAACCCTTGTCTCCCATCAAGACAAGACAATTTCTCAAGAAGTTACACCTGACCATTCGTCAAGAGGTCTGATCACTGCTTGCCAAGCACGGGGGGCTGTTGGGATGAAGCGACACACACATGTCACAGGGACAGATAGGGTTTAGAAAGGGGGAATACTGCGGTCCAACTTTGTTCATCATCTCTTTAGGGTTAGCCACATTGTAGATAGATTCACAGTTGTACCGATTGTTTTCTTTTCTTTTTTCCTTTCTTCACTCATTCATTTCTGTCTCATCCCGCACCACCATCAGGTGCTCTTTTCTTTGCTCATCTCATCTTGGCTCGCTCCTCTATCAGTAGCTCACCGGCGCTTCTCTGGCATTTCATAGGTCTGATCTCTTTCTGTTTCTTTCTTTTTGTTCTTCATTGTCTCGCTTCTCTTTTGCCTTGTCATGCAATGATCACTCATTCATTTCTGTCTCATCCCGCACCACCATCAGGTGCTCTTTTCTTTGCTCATCTCATCTTGGCTCGCTCCTCTATCAGTAGCTCACCGGCGCTTCTCTGGCATTTCATAGGTGCTCTTTTCTTTGCTCATCTCATCTTGGCTCGCTCCTCTATCAGTAGCTCACCGGCGCTTCTCTGGCATTTCATATTTGTTGCAATTTCAACATGTCACTCCTTTTTCTCATTTTCTTCCTTTAGTTTCACTCTTCATTCAAAATAACATATTACATGTATATTTTTGCCTTTTGTCCCTAAACTTGCCCCCATTGTTGTTGCAGCATTTAATTTTATACCTGGATAGTAATCAAACCCACTGGTTCGTTTTTGCCTGTTTCCTGTGGTCAAACATACAAACTCCTGCAGGGTGTGTGCTCTTTTTCCACATGAGATAACAGATTTTTTTTCCCCTCTAATGGTGCTTATTGTTCCCCTTTTTTGCCTTAGAGCTTTTACTCAAGGCCTGGTCCTCCCTCCTCTTTCTTCAGGTTTACATGGTTGTGGAATTACATCAGCTTTGGCCAATTTCACATAATCTTTTTCAACACCCACCTATTAGCCCTTTTCATTCAGGGAAATTATCATTACTCAAACTTTTTTCCTTAATTTTACCACACGAAAGTCCCTGCAAGCAAGATATCAATGAAAACCTTCTTGCACATGGGCCTATACAGAATTTCCCCAAAGGGAAATCTCGTAAATTTTAGGGAAATTCTGTAAACATTGAAAAAATCTGGATTTTTTGGATTTTCTGAATTTTTAGATTTTGGATTTTCCAGATTTTCAAATTTGTAGATGCTCTAGATATTCTAGATTTTTGACATTTTTTTTAGAATTTTTAGAATTTATTTAAAAAAATCTAAGAAAAAATCTAAAAAAATCTAAAAGAAATCTAAAAAAAAATTAGAAAAGAATTTGCAAATTCTTTTAGGGGATTAATAAACGTACCCGGGTTTCTTGATATGCCAACAGCAAAGAAGGTGAGAAGCATCTGGGAAAACTAGCTCAATAGCATTCAAGAGGGCTTGTTCTTTGTCGGTGGCAAGGACAGAGGGGGATTGACCGTCTAAAGCTATGGAAAATTGCTCTAAAGCCCAGGTATAGTCTTCTTCTTTTTCTCCAGAGAGGAAACAAAATGCAGCAGAGAAATATCGGTTGGAACTATTCATCCCTACAATATGCAATAAAGGCATTTTGTATTTGTTGGTCTTATAGGTACAATCAAGGAGGAAGGTGGTGTGGAATTTTTTAGCCAAAATAAGGGAGTTGGGATGAGAAAAAAAGAGAGCTTTCATTTGGCCTTCATGATTCTGGATAATGTGATAAAAGTTGGAATTGCGGATTTCAAAGATAAGGGCTTCAATAGGTGAACGACCATTGAGGTGCTCCATTCTCATCTTGTTTCGGTGATTGTATATAGTATTTAAAGTGGAGGAGCAGGGGGTCTCAGTCTGATGCATCAAAGCGGCTTTAATTTGGAGAGGGGCTACACCAGCATTGGTCATGTTAGTGACTATTTCTTGCTGCTCTACATTCATTCTACGGTGGACGGCATGAGTGGCAGAGTTTTCAGAAGGTGGGTGGTTGTGGTGGGCATTTTTGATGACTATTCTCCACTGTTTCTCCCTTTTGTAGTAATTCCCAGTAAACTTAAAAAGACAGTTGGTCTTTTTGGTCTTTGTCAATTGACCTTCTGGTTTTTCAGCTGAATGACAAGTTCCAGATCTGTCACATTGGTATGCATATCTCAGCTCTGGACCAGTTGTGGTGGAGTGGGTTATGATTATAGCATACCCATGCTCCCTGGCCCAGGACTGAGCCGCTTCAAACAGCTCATTTTGGGTTGCATAAGTCAATTCAGGAGGAGGGGGCATTGGATGGGATGGGTCTTCACGGGCATCTTGGGGTAGATATTGTCCTTTTTCAGACATTATTCAAGATTTTATAGGGGATGGAGGGGATATTTGAAAGATAGAGAGAAAAAAATAGAACTGGAAGAGGGTTTTTGGGTTGGGGAAAAAATAGGTGTTTTGATAAAAAAAAGAAGATGGTGGAGAGTTTTTTTTGTGTGGAATTTGGTTGAGGGGTGGTGAAGATATGGAGGCTGAAAAGAGAGACTGGGGGATGTTTTTTTGATGAAAAAGGAAGAAAAATATTGAGGTGTTTTGAGAAAAAAAGAAGTTGGTAGCAAGTTTTGGGGAGGTCTTCTGATTCTTTTGGTGTTTTTTTGGTTGAAATTGGGTGTGAGGTGGTCAAGATATTGAGGTTGGTGTGTTTGGTGAAGGTCCTTCGATTGCTGTTCGGTTATTGGAGTCGGGTGGTGATCGAAGTTTGAAATTTTGTCTACGGAGGCACTCGCGCGACCTGGAGAAGCTTCAAATTGAATATATGCAATATTAGAGTGAAAAAAACTCGGATTTCATTCTAATTATGTAATCAAGCCAAATCCGGGTGTAAACGCGGAGAACCGGGTTTTTCAAAACCGGGTTGAAAATAAAAATAAAAATAAAAATCCAATTTAAGGATTATTAAGGTACTGGATTATTAAAACCAGCATTTTAGATGATTTTAAAAATTATCCTTAACCTCCATAGCCCCATGAAAAAGGAGAAATGAAACCGGGTTTTTATGCGGAAAACCGGGTGTGGGGAACCGGGTTTAAACGCGGAAAACCCGGGTACGTTTATTAATCCCCTTCTTTTAATCTAAAAACGCTAATGCCAAAAAATCTAAAAAATCCAAAAAATCTCAAAAATCTAAAAAATCTAAAAATTTCTAAAATTTCTAAAATTTCTAAAAATTCTGAAAAATGTAGAATATCTAGAGCATCTACAAATTTGAAAATCTGGAAAAACCAAAAGCTACAAATTGAGAAAATTCAGATTATTTTTCAATGTTTACAGAATTTCCCTAAAATTTACAAGATTTCCCTTTGGGGAAATTCTGTATAGGCCCATGTGAATTGTAGCATAAATATCACAGCAGATCTAAAAATGGTTGACCATGTCTGAATTTTTTCCTCCCCCCCTCAGATGTTATACACAAGCTTGAAATTTTTGAGCAGACTTGTTGAAACCTGCAGGTATTATCACACATTCCCCCATTTTTCTTGGTGAGAATCCTCCCCTAGTCAATTGATTCCTGTTGATCCCATGCAGCTTATGCATGTTTATCCAGGGTTTGAGGAGAAACAGGAAAACTTGAGGAGGTGATTTATTTTTGGACTGGGCAACCTTTTGTGGATCTGCTGTCATTGTGAACAAGTGAGTAAGTGATGTATTATGGGGTTCCGGGGTCCGCTCGGTCTCCAGACTCCGGTTGCGGCTTGCCATGCCCGAACAGCCCCGGGGCTTCCGGTCTTTTGGTGAAACGGTCAGCCAATCGATCAATCCAGCACTCCACACACACACACCACGACCTACCACAACTGGATACTCGTCCACTGTAAGTTTCCTTCTCTCCTCTCAATCTTACCAACATCTATTTCATCATCCGATTGAGTGTGTTTACATACTTACCTTTTTCATTCTGTTGGACAGAACCTTATCTCGTTTTACGCCGGAGTTTAAAAAGACTAGCAAACAAAGTGAGTAAACATGGGCTTGAGAAGACTCACCCAATCAACCTGTTATTTTTTTCCCCTCTGCCGCTGCGTAAACCGTCATCCTAACTGTTGATCGAATTCCTTCAGGTAATCCTCCCCAAGATTCTTCATGATCGATTTCAACGGCGATTGGGACGAACCCGATATCTGGTCAACTCCAACCCCATCTCCCCTCGCAGCGGACCATAGTTCTACTTCGACTGGCGCTGATCTCGGTGAATTGAAAAACCAAACATCAAAAGAACCTCAAGCTTCATCATCCAGCTCAAACCAGACCTCGCCAGATCTCTCCGACCCATCCTTCCATCCCATCGAAAACATCAACGTAGATTCAAACTCAGATCAGGAACCTAGTACTCCTACAGCCCTTCGATCACCACTCCAATTACAATCCTACCTCCAATCCCCACCCAAATCTACCACAGCCGCCTCTGGCCTAGAATTACCTCCAAGCGATTCACAGTTTGCAACCCTACCCTTAGCCACTGGCTCCTGGTCGACCGGCGAGACCCTCTCAAGTGATGGTCTATTTGAGCCCAACGCGCCCTCTGGATTCGATGAGTTTGATTCCCATCAAAGCTTTGATGATCAGGAAAGTACTGAAGATGATGAATTTGGTGACTTCGACGATGGCGATGGCGAGATGACTGTTGGTGATGACAACTTCGGTGGTTTTACCGTTTCATCACCCTTACCTATCACCTTACCAACGATGCCAGTGGTACCGTTCAAATTACCCGATCAGTTCTCCGAGGGCGCTCTTCGGGCTGCTCTGACACCGGCATTGGAGGCTTTATTTACAAATCATTATTCCCGACCAGATCCATCTCAGGCTTGGCTTGAGCCTCTACCTCCCGTTCAGAAAAAGAAGAGCGAGCAACGCTCCACTTCAGAGTCTCGACAGATGCCCTCGATCCTCAAATCCGATGATCTGCAAAGAACTTGGCGGACCTTAGTGGATGGTGGCAACGGACTTGGAAGACCGGTTGAATGGAAGCGCAGTCAGATTCGACGTTTTCATCTGGTTCACCTCGGCATCCCAGTCGATCTGAACGACGTGAGATCTTCAGCGTCTACGTGTTTGGGTCTGATTGGCGACTGACAATCTGCTTGGGCCTTTAGTTCCTCGCACCTCCCCCCTTAGCCAGTAAGTTGCTGACAATCGATACCAAGCGTAACGGACCTAATTCCAATGGCCAATCGAACTGCCATTCACCTGCCACGATATCTCCATTTCACGGGCCAAATTTGGATCGAAAACGGTGTGAAGAACTCGTTGCGATGAGTGAAGGTAAACACTTGTTATGCTTTTTTTTGCAAATATTTAAATCCAAAAGAAACAAAAAAATGGCCAAGAGACTTACAATTTGATTGTGAAACAAATTTTCGTCTATAGTCAGTCTAACCACCCAAGACCTTGAACAACTCACATCCATCCGGGATGAACTTGAATTATTGGGTCGGAGAGCCTCGGAGTTGTTGGTGTTTAAGCAACAAAAGAGGGACCGATCGATCCAAGATTGTAAATCGTACAATACAATGATTTCAGTGCGTTTCCAACCGAACACTTGGCTCGTTTGCCATTACTTTCAATCTTAGTCCATAGTATGAGCGGCTTAAAGTCTATGTGCCATTTCGTTTGTGATCAATCCAGGATTTGGTACTGGCGGCACAAAGGATCCAGATGGCTTCGCCTAGCTCGACCAAAAGAGCCTCCTCAATCAACATCGGCTCATCCTCTATTTCAAGTTCCTCTTCCAAGTGGCCCTCCTTGGCTCGAAGTAACAGTCATCACAACAGCCGCCCTGGTACTGCTCACACTACTTCTCCTCCTCCTACCGACGCCCCCGCGAGCAAACCTAACTAAAAATAACAACTGGCCCTCTTGATACTTCCAGTAAGCATTTCCCATGAAGTTTCCAGACAACGAAGATTTGTTGAACCAAACTGCTTTTCGTTGACGCGTTGCATCTGTTTGTAGTGCCCTCTGCTACCCTTTGGAAGTACGATTTGTACCCTATCCTCATGTCTGCTCATTTGTTTTTCTAATTTTATTGTTTATCGTCCACCTCAAAAGAAAAATATTCTCATAGCAGAGAAGACCAAAGACGATTCACGTTCAATCTTCTCAGCCCGCTGTGTTTACACGTCCATCCATCCTGCTGAGAACAAGTCTTGAGTGAGGCCATGCCTTAAAATCCACCTGCCCAGTGTGATTCAACGTCGTCACACTTACTGAATTCAGCAATTTCTTGACACATGTGTCTACTGCCTATTCCTGCCTTCACTAAAATACTGTGTATCACACCCGCCGGAAAGCGTTGCGGCCCCGAGTTTTTTTTTTCGTATGTCTGCTTGGCCTGTACCGATGGGTAACCTGTACATACCCGGCCGCTTGCCTAGCTTCTTACGGTACCAAACATAGCAAGTCGGGGTCATCGAACACAGCTGTTTCCTCCGGAATAGCCGTAATACATGCATTCATCGTTATGTGTACTCTGTGTATTACCCACCGGAGCCCTCCGGTGCTATTTATACCCCCAACTCCCCAAACTTGATGATTGTACACTGTCGTACAGATCAGGTGTAGTTTCTAACAATCGATTGCCTCGGGGTTTCGAATTCTGTTTGTCGGCCATGACCGACAACACTCAACCACAAGTGGACGCTCTGCCATGCCCCGCTGCACTCGAACCACCTTAAAAGATGTGTGGGCCTCCACGCTGGGCGCCTCTCTCCCTCGGAAAGCACTCTCCCTAAGCTCTAAGTTTAACAAATTAGACGGCGAAATCGGGCTCGTTGGTTTAGAAGTCGGATACTTTTAAAAACTGGTTGGTGACGCTTCCCAAAGATTATTATTTGGTTTAACACAGGAACCAGCAGTTAGCTGATTCCGAAACCAAGTTTCTTCTCTCCCCGAAAAAGTACCAGGACGGATCGGCTCAAAATGAAAACCCACGGATGTCGCCTTTTTTGCTTACTCATCACAAGCCTATTGTTCAACAACTTGAGCGCTGCACTGTCTAGGAATCCTTCGTTTTACGCATTAGACTTGGTGCACGACGAATATTCAGGTAATGCGAAGCTTATTTGGCAAGGCAACGCCGTAGCTACGATTACTCAGTCTAGAACGAGCGGGGAATACAGCCTGCACGCCCATCTTCCTTGTTCGTCTTTCATGGCCATTGGAGGACCAACAGATGGAAATACCAAAATCGTTGTAGACACGTCCAACGGCGCTTCAATTCAGGAGTTACCAATCAGCTCTCTCGAAGACTTTTCATGGCAGGTTGCATTCAACCATCCCAAATGGAACAAGGAACCTTCAAGGCTAACTCAAGTCGATCCCACAAAGTTCCTGGCCGAATTGCGACGCTGGGTTGCCGAAAAGCTTGGAATCTCGCCTTCATTCTCTTATTCAAAGTCAGAAAAGGAGCAATGATGATACAAAAAAAAAACAGAAACTGTTGGCGAAAACAAGAAGATCCCTTAACAATGACCGTTGGTTTAATTTTTCATCTGACCCACATTCCCCTAATTTTATGATGCGATCCCTGTTGCTGCCACATGTCCAAGATATCTTATACTTAATTATTAATTGTGCGCTTTTCATACCTACTGTCATTCTGTCGACTGATCACCAGTAATATCCATTACCCGATAATCTGTTATCCAACCCCGTTATCCTTTCAACATAGCTCTTGTTTAGACGCCTATATCAGTTAGAAGCAATCAGGACAAAAGCCACGCAACTAATCAGGTTAAAAGCGGCCCCAACTTAGAATCTGCACATTCCGTTGGAAACGGAACACACCAGCTTGAGCAACCGCGCAACCTGCCAGCGCGAGTATGTTCCGTATCTTCTCTTGAGATCTGTTAGTTTCGTTGAAACTTGTGCCAAAGAGAAGGCTTACACGTGAGGTGAAGAGAGAAAAATGACATGGAGATGCTAATGAGAACAAGAATGGATGAAGAAACCTACAGTTTATGTAATGGCTTTTCAGTAGTATTAGGTGGGTGAGAATAATTCGAGATTGGTTTCTAAGTTCACTTGCATTGCGTAAAAGCTCTGCATACATAGATCCCTGCAGCCCACCTTGCATGTTTTCACAACCTGATAATGGTTTACTATCGTTGCCAACCTGACCTTGAGTAGCATGACTCTGCCTTGTTTGACATCGGTCCACCTAGAATACAAAGGCTGGAGAATGCGACTGCATATAATCTTTGAAAACAGATTTTCTCTCTGTGTTTGGTTAGCTCACAAACTTTGATAAAGGCAGGCAGCATGCAAGGGATCTCTGAGTGTATGTATGATTAATCCTTGAAGAACTAATAAAAAAGGGTACTTTTTGTCATTCATGTTGCGGCAGACCGAGCCACATCCCACAATACAACAGAAATTAAAACAATGACAGCTGACTTCAAGTTTCATAGGGCATCTGAACAAATGATCTGGTTCTAGTAGTCTACTCTGGAAACATGAGGCACTCAAAAATTATGTGTTCCAACCAATATTCGAAATTAGAAGAAACCTCCATGTGGTGCATGAAATCTATTAATAAACTTATACATGCATGCTGTGTGAGCAAAAAAAAAAAATACCGAGAGCCTTTTGGCAATGCATAAGCCAAAAGAGACTTGCTTTTCCGAAAAGCAACAAATAAACGAATAAAAGCCGACGCCTGTAACGTGATCACATTTAAATTCCAACCAGGAATCCCCACTGTTTAACAAATCTTTTGGCTAATTTAGATTTAGTCTTCCAGCTCAGTTGTGAGCTTTCCAAGTCTTTGATATCAGCAAGAAACTCTTGTTGAATAGCTCGAGAGGATTCACGTCGAGGGAAATGGGGTGAATGAACGAAATATCTCAGAAGATGGAGGTCTAAGAATAAAAATCCTAACGTCCTCTCAGGATTGTTAGAATGTGACTTGGCTGTTGGATGATCTGAATCGGCCGATGGATTCGAGGTGATTAATAATAGTGTCCGCTCCATTCTCCTACAGAAATTGGCGCGTTTCTCAGGGCAACAGTCCATCTTCTACTGGGTCCAAATATCTTGAATGACTAACCTCATAGCAATCCGAACTTCTTTCCTGACCGCCTCGGTTCCCTTTCCGACCACCCCAATCCGCTTTCTGATTAACGAGCCAAACAGCTTGCCAAACATGAAACAAATCAACATTGATGGAGCCACCCCGATCGCTCCAAAGGTCAGTGACTGGCTACGCAAGACTGATTGGATCCCATCCATTGCTAGGGACAGATCTACTTTGACCTTTTGAACTACAACGGGAGACTCAAATCAGCCCAAGTACTTCTAGGTGGAATTCTCAGCGGGGTATGCGTGGGCGTACTTTGGATCAGCAGTACTCGAATCAATGAACCCGCGATCGCTGATCGAATGGGAGCCTAAGTGAGACAATATTGCATGAGCTTTGGACCCTCAAATCTCAAACCAGGATAATCAAGACATACCTTGATCTCTTGCTCCCAGACTTTCAACACCGAAGTCAAGTTGCCCTCTTTCACACTTTCTGATAGCTTTGATAATTCTTCTTCGCTCCACTTCAGTTTGTCGCGTCCAAACTCTACCACCATCCGTTCGAGACTATCAAGTTCAGGGGCGAGACTATCCTTGGTCATAATTGCCAGAGTACCTTCCTGTCCGGCTCTTAAAGTCTGCAGAATGTCCTCGACTGGTCTGATTACCCAGCCGGATATGAAACCCTTTAGAGTTTCCTTGGCATCTCTGAATCCATCCAAAATCTTGCTTCGATAGCTGTAGGCAAGGCTTGAGAGAGCATAGGAGAAGACTGGCAGGGAGACCAACCAGGGCCAATTACGGACGAAAACCCCAGGTGGAGAGAGCGAAGAAATCCGCAATTTAAGACTTTCTGGATGATTTGGTAGATGGCTCGACAAGAGTTGATGGAGCTGATCGATCATTGACGCCGGGTTATCTCTGTCCATTGGCTGTTGGGCTTGGGAATCTAGATCTGACGCCACGAGACACATTTTGCTTACCAAACCAGAAAGGGCTATATCTGACTCAGCGGGACGCTGGGCTTGATCTTCCAAGCTGTGCAAACCGTTAACGAGACCTCCGATTTTTTCAGCCAGGTCGGCATGGACCAACTCCAGTGCTTGCCTCTTGACCCTTGCCTCCTGTCGCGTCAGTAGGATCGGGGACAGGGTTGACAAGAATTGGATCGAATGGCTCGGCGAGTTGATCAACAGTCTCGAATTCGTGCTCAGAATCGGGAACAAGCTCGAAAATGAGATTGCTTGGTGAGGTCTAGCCCATGCTTGATTGTAGAGCTGTCCAACCCATGTGGACAGCCGATTCCGATTATGATGACCCTCGTCCTCTCTAAGTTGGTCGATGGCGCGTCTCGTCTGAGCCCAAATCTGGGAAGCCAATGCTATCGATCGAAGCGGGATGGATTGAATTAGATAATAAGCAGTCGATATTCGGTTGTTTTCGATCATCGACCAGTAGTCTATCTGATCCTTGATCCCAAAGGATTGATGACAGAGTGATTCGAATAGAGTCGAGTAGGATCGAAGCACAATCTGGATGAGTAAGATCGATCGAATCTCCGCAACATCCTCCCCATCTTCGGCGCGATTCCCTGAGGATTGGACTGAGACAACTAGTGATTCGAGTGCGGTCAACAGCTGCTTGTTCGGAACCCGTTTGCGCTCGAATCGATCTCTCAGGTCAACCGCACCGAGTAAGGACGACAGCTTCGACTGGGCCTCGTGAGGATTGGAAGAGGACTTCTTGGAGCTTGAGATAAGCTGTTGTTTGAGATTGGCGACCACGTCCGGTTGCCTGGGGGCATGGTCCAAGAGACTCGGCGAACATTTGAGCTGGAGGGCCAATTCGGAAGATCTGTCGGATGCGAAAGATGACATCATTGTCCCGGTTGGCACTGCCGGCTGGGTGACCCTCGGCACCGAGCGCAACTCAGCTGGCCGGTTGAGTGTCACAGGACACTCTATTTCATCGAGCTGTCACAGATAAATCAGAAGAGATCTTTTCAACCTCACATGGATAACCAAAATTGAAGAAGTAGAAGCAATTGGGATTTCTTTCCAGTTGTCTTCACGTCGACTCATTTGATAAGGCAGGCATCATCATGTGGCCAAAATCCATCGGGCAATTCAAATCAAGTGGCTGAATATTATTCCCATGAACATCCATTGAAAAGCTAAATGTCCTGGACCTATGATAAGGGGTGTATAAGATATATTGCTTGATTCCTACCTGGTTTGGGAAGCAAGATAAATCAAAAGAGCTTGTTTAAACCCACAGGATCAGAGCTTTCAAAGAAAGGGAACTGAATTCAAACACTCTGACTGGATTCTTCAGATCATCAGCGATGTATCATTTTGTGCCATTTTTTTTTGTTTCTGGAAACAAACTGGAAGAAAGAATTTGAAATTTTGGAATCCCACATTCATGTGGGTCAACACCCAATGTAGTAAATATGAGGTCTTATATTACTTTATAGAAACTTTCAATAAATGCTAATAGTAGTAAAAACAACTAAAGAGAGTTCACAAAGATAGAAGAGATCATTAGCACTCAAAAGAGAGTAAAAATAAGAAAAGGTCAAAAAACAACTAGATAAATGAGTGAAAATAGTTGATATTTACCTTCTTATAGTTGGATCCTTGTAAGTACTCTTAAAAGACACAACACAATTTGGAGAAATAGACGGAACACAAAAAACAAGCCTGAAAGAAAGAGATAGAGAAGAAATAGAAATAGAAACAGCTCTGAGATCAGGATCCAGGTAGGCGTCGTTGAGAAATGAGAAAAAACTTTTCTACCTCCACCTGTTATGCGTCCTAGCTCCTCCTGAGTGAAGTTAATCTGAGAGAGTAGATGGTTCGGATCGAACGTGCAGTTTAGGTGTATGATCGAAAGTGGATTAAGGGATTTGTCGATAGGGTAAGTGATGAGCGGAATCTTCGTCTTGAGGTTGAGGAAAAAAGAAATCGAGTCGCTTGCCGAGTCAGTCGAAGAAAGTACTTGCTTCAACTTGAATTCGTGTGACATCTGATTGACACATTTGAAATTCTCAGACGTCGACCGGATCAGTCAGGATTATTCAGTCAACACCCAATTCAAGGGTCCACTTTTATTTTGAAGTTGATCCTTTCTAGAAAGAGGCCCTGTGCAACCTTCAATCAATTTGGTTTTGTCAATTCATTCACCACAGGACCCAGGAAACCCCCTGTAGACCACAGTAACCAAAACGTCAAAATGTATACAACCACTTTGACTGGCCATCAGATGTGATATCTGGATAGTTGCCACATCAGGACATGTACATACTGAAGGTGAATCCATCCCATAAACTTTTTAGTGGTAAATCCTCACCAGTGAGCCTTGAGAAGCAAAAAACTAAATAATAAAAAAAATCTGAAAAAAAATTCATACATTTTTTTTGGTAGTTTTTCAGTTATAGAAACTCACTCGTCGAGGTTAGCCACTAAAGAACACATGGACATGATGCACCTTTAGTATGTACATGTCCTGATGTGGCAACTATCCACATATCACATCTTATGTTCAGTCAAAGTAGTTGTGTAGGGTGAATATCCATTCATACATTTTGGTTACTGTGGTCTACAGGGGGTTTCCTGGGTCCTTTCACCACATGGTCAATTCCTTCCCACAAATCCTCAGGGAAGGTTTTGGTGGATTTTCCATTATACACAGCTTAAATTCTGAATATGCTATCAACTAATTTTCCGTGTAGATCGTGCCAATTTCTCACTCAGATCTTCCATTCAAATGACCTTATACAATCCAGCTATTGCAACATAAGGCCCTCATGTGGAGATCATCACCTTTCATCCAATTCTTGAACGCAAAACACAAAAAATATAACACATAACAATCTGTTGTTTTTTTCTTTATTTGATACTGACAATCATCAGTGTAATTGACCTTAATTTGCATCAATCGCTAAGGGTGAATTACCTCAGAAATTGAATCCAAAAATAGAGGCAAATTGTTCGATGCTAATTCCCAGCAGTCATAATGAATAACCGAACCACTCCGTTCGACTAGAATTAAGTTGCTGGTTAGGGAAATGTAGCACGATGAAATTACATCTCGACTCACGGAGAATATTATGAAATTAATCCTTCAATACTGGTCAATTTATTTTAAAATTTTCTCCTATCAATATCATCTATTGTCACTCAATTGGGAACCCAAGGCTATTTTGAAATGGAAAAATTTCACTTTCTTGAGATGATTTCAATCACTCACATCATCTCTATGGTGATCCACCCAGGTGGAACATGTGAGCTATTTTACGAAAGAATGTAATCACGAAAAGGCTGAAGAGAAATCTGAGCCTAGAGGCATATCCAACTGAATCGTATGTTGAATGCGGGCGAGTTATCAACTCATCTTGGGAGTGTTTCATGCAAATTTGCGCAATGATTGGTTATCATTGCCATAGCAGTGGAACAGGGCATGAGGTGGAAACCAATGTGCCAGATTCACGATATGAAGATTTTTCCAGCAGCCGATCGATTTGTCGTGTTCATTTGACAAGACAGGTTTCCACATAACCATGGCGACTCATTTGAAGATTACTACGTCTCATGACAAAGAGATCGACGATTTCGATGCAATTAATAAGATAAATTTGACCAAAGCCTCGGAAACGAAATGCCCAACTTGAAGTGATGAGACCCCGCCAAGAATAGCAAGTGATGGATGGGTTAGTAGCAGCAGCCTCTCACATGCAGAAAATTGGCGAAGACCTGTTGCAGTTTTTGTGGATAAAAGGAGGGCTGTTTGAGATAATTTTAAGTCCCCTCATCATCACTCAGCCTTCCCAGCTTCATTCCTAGTAACACTTGCACCTCCTTCTGGTAAGGAGAATAACAATCAACTTGACGTTGTAACAATTTCGAGGTGGGTATATATAGATTTCCTATGAATCCCATTGTCATCGATTGATTTCTTACAACACAAATATTTTTCTGATTGTTAATTTGTTCAATCTTCTTTTCAGGGTCATCCATTGGTTTCCCATTTTCTTGAGATCGGTTCAGCTCGTCTAAAAATAACTTATCTGCACGTTGAGTTTATCCCTCCTAATTTTCATAAACGCTAATTAGTGCAGAGTTACTGACTTGAGCACTCGAAACCCGATCCAGACTTCACAAAGATGCAATTACTCCAGCTATCAATTTTTACTCTTGCAGCGGTGCTCATGGCATCACTTCAAGCTGAAGAGGTTAAATCCGAGATTGGTGCAGCCGAAAATAAACTTGCTCAGGTGGACGACAGCATTCATTCCCACGAAAAGAGGGGATTGGAGAAACGTAAGAAGAAGAAAGGTGGTGGCGCGAAGAAGAAAAAGGTTTAATGGATCAACAGTCAAAAGACTCTTCTGTCCTCCAAATTGTATTTGATTGATTATCCTTCACATTTACATTATTTAAACCTGCCAGCTCAAATGTATTAGCTTCTATACACACATCCTCCCTCGGATAGATCATAAAATATTAATCAAATATTATCTGGTCTTTACAATATAAGACATGGCTCAATCTGCCTATTACTATTCTTCATCAAAATCAGAAACCCAATCATTTTACAATTAAATGTTAAAAAAAATCTTGCTGCGTCCTGAAATTTATTGAAATGCAAACATCATTATGACTTGCATGGAGGTCACACTGTTTTGGGGTTGTTCCATGTAAGCAAGAAGCCTATAAAAGTATCAACTATGAGAGTATTCTGGTTGACCACTAGGGGACTACTCATCTTATATGAAACCCTTTTAGATTTAAATTCAGATACAAAAATCCCAGGTTTTTTCAGGACAATTCAGTATCCACAGATTTTGACAGGAATTCCTCCACTAGGAGATTCAAATTTAACTCAAATTTTCTCAAACAGAAACAGGCTCAAGGGTGACAGTTGTCTCACCTGAACCCTAAATCATATGTCACTCAAGTCAATCTAAATCTGTAAAGCCAATTTAGTGAGTGAAAAATCTACAAGGTCTTTCTGAGCAAAAGAAATTCTCAGGTGAACAAGTGTGCCCTTTCTGGGACCAGGTATAGGGTGGGGACCGGGTATGGGTTCCGCTGCTAGTTTATTATGCATCATGGTACAGTTGTGTAACTTTGGGCTCCAAATAGATTAAACTACATGTAAGACTCTTGAGTCTTACTCTGAAGATGTCATTGATCAAAGATTTATTCCTCCAAAAAAGCCATCACCTGGTGCCCATGACTCATGAGCCTGTTTCAACAGATCACCTTTTTTGATCATCCGGGTACGATTGAAGGCCTCAATGCCAAGTTCAGACCCACAGTCTCACCTGCTCTTATTTTGAGTCCATTTCCAGAAATTGCTACTTGCGTGTGCCCAAGTCTCTACTGGATTAGAAGGGGAAGGCTGGAAATGTTGGCACTTCCAACAGAAGTCTGTCAAGAAAAGTTTTTGAGGTTTCACTGGCCTCCATTAGAGTAGTGCTGCACTGAGCCCTGATTTTCAAATCAAGCTATATACCTGGGTTTATGTTGGTGCAGCCATTGGCAAGATTTGACTATTCTGAAGGAAGATTTGCAATTCATGTCTTATTATTATAAGAAAACCAATGGTACAAAATGATTAACTTTGTTTGGTAATGATCAAACAATTTTTGAAATATTCGAAAGAATTGGCATGAGAAAATTGAACCACAAATACCATTACAGATTCATCAGACTAACTCTACCCAAGCTGAAGGAAACCAGGTTGATACCATGGTGATCTTCATTCAGCTTGACACATCTCCAACAAAGTGTGCTCTGCCATCTTTTCAAGAGAAAGAATATGTCAAATCATGATCGAACTCAAGCTGATTGATAAGAAAAGCTGAAAGCAGTTTGCCCTTGAAGGTTTATAAGCAAAACAAAATGCCTTCTGTATTTCAGCAGTTTGAATTTTCACATTCCGGTTCCCACTTCCAATTTCAAGGATGATTCCTTATATTGGCCCCAGGCTGAAGTACAGGTCACTTCTGCCATCCAAACCCCGCATCTCTGCTCATGAAATGATGCATACGAATATGTCAGTTTAAGAATATACTTTTTATCTCTTCTTCACTTACACTCAATGTTGAACAATTATTGTTTTCTCGTTATTTGCCTTTATTTAACCAGTACCAGTTATTTTGGCAAAAAAAACTCTCTAAGAGTAAAACAAGTCAAATTGAGTATAAATCAGAGTGCTTTTTGGTTAAACAACCTCAGTGGGTATACCTAGGTTTCTGTTGGTGCAGCCATTTGCGGGTAAATTTGGGGAACACTAGGTTGTACGATATGGGGTGGCGGGCATACTATGGGACCCGTCAGGTTACCCAGGTAATTGTGCGATGTATTGGATTTGGTACCCGGGCCGGCTGTCGAGTATACCTGCCGGGTGAGAGTCGGATTTGGTCAAGGCTCCAGAACTTTGGTTATGGCCGATCAACAACCCGCTCGTCTGGCTGAGACGGTCTGTTTCCGTTTGGCGTATATGGGCATTAGTACTTTCTCTTATTCCTGAATTCAGTTACCACAACTCAATATTTAGGTTGCTATGTTTTTGCATCAACCATACATGAGCATGTAATCTAATTGACACAACCAAGAGAAAGTTTGAGAGAAATTTGAGCCCAAAGCCTGGATCGCGTCTCTCAAATGCGGACAATTTATCAACTCATCTTGCGAGTGTTTCAATTCATCTGAATTTGCGCAATAATTGGTTATCATTGCCATAGCAGTGGATTAGGGGATGAGGTCGAAACCAACGTGCTGGGGTCCTAATATGAAGATTGTTTCAGCAGTCGATCGATTTGTTGTGCTCATTTGACAAGACAGTTTCCGTAAAACCATGGCGACTTACATACTTGAAGATTACTACGTCTCATAAGAAAGAGATCGACAATTTCGATCCAATTAATTAAATAGATTTGGTCGAAGGACGCCTAGGTAACGAAGTACCCAGCGAGAAAGGATGAGACCCCGCCAAGAATAACAAGTGATGGGTCAGCAGCAGCCTCCCACACGCAGAAAATTGGTGAAGCCCTGTTGAAACTTTTGTGGATAAAAGGAGGACTGTTTGGGAGGGATTTGAAGACTCATCCTCATCGCTCAGCCTTCCCAGCTTCATTCCTAGTAACACTTGCATCTCCTTCTGGTAAGGAAAATAAAAACAACTTGACTTTGTGACAATTTCGAGGTGTGTGTACAGAGATCATCAAAACTTTTCCAATGACACCCATTTTCATCAAATTCTTTCTTACCAAAAAGATGTTTTTCTGTTTTTTTATATTTGTTGAAACTGCTTTTCAGGTCCATCCACTGGTTTCCCATTTTCTTGAGATCGGTTCAGCTCTTCCAACAATAACTTATCTGTAGGTTGAATTTATCCCTCCCAATCACAAAAATCATTCCTCTAGTGCAGTGTTACTGACTTTAGCAATCGAAACCCGATCCAGACTTTACAACGATGCAATTACTCCAGCTATCGATTTTTACTCTGGCAGCGGTGCTTATGGCATCACTTCATGCTGAAGGGGTTACATCCGAAATTGGTTCCGCCGAACGTAAACTTATTCAAGCGGAAGAAAGCATTGGATCAACTGCACCTTCAACCAAAAATTCCCATGAGAAAAGGGGATTGGAGAAGCGTAAGAAGAAAAAGGGTGGTGGCCGTGGTGGAGGAGCCAAGAAGAAAAAGGCTTAATTCTTCTGCAGCCAAACACTTTTTCTTTCCTTCAAACACTATTCAGTACATCATACATGGCCATCGTCAGATGATTTTTTTTCCAATCTGCTAGCTCAAAGAAAATCAGCTTCTATGTATGTACACCAACATTCTGGGATAGATCATAAAATAATAACCAAATATTTCCTGGTCTTTTCCACACAAAACATGGCTCAAACTGCCTATTACTATTTGTCATCAAAAGTAATCACTATTGCATCCTTTTGAAATTCCATTCATTCAATAATAAAAAAAATTATGTTGCTTAATGAAGCTACTTACATATTTAAATACAACCATCATTATGATTTAAATTTGGAGGTTGCAGTGCTGTGAGTGTGTCCCTTGAAAACAAGATACCTGAAAAGGTTAGACTTATGTGAAGATCTTGGTCCAATCCTGGATAAATTCCTTTCTATTCTACAGCCCTTGTAGCTGTTGGTTGAAACTCCCAAGTCCTAGATTTCTGAAGGAAATCTACATCTCTTGAGGCCCTGAATTACTACTCAGAATTCAGGGTCTGTGGATTTTGGCATGAAGTCATCCACTAGGAGATTCCAAGTCAACTTGAATGTTTCAAAACTGACAAAAGCTCAAGCATGAACGATCCCACCACAATTTCAAAAAAAAAAAACATTCAAGAATCAAGCATATCAACTAGGAATTAGCAGCTGATCAAAATTGTAGGTAATGTCTGTAAAGTATAATGAATGATATATAAGAAATGACCACAAAACAAGATCATTCTTTTAGGGTCTTAGTTAAACGACTCCCAGAAATTGGAGTTCCGACTCCCAAATTTCTGGGATGTCGCGAGGACCGTCTGCAGACGCTCCTCAGGATGTCCTTGGGAGTCGGACCTCCAAAACCTTCAGAAGGTTTGGGAGTCGCTCCCCTAATAAAAAAAATAAAAATAAATCAAAAATAAATCAAAAAAGAAGCTTTTGCAAGTGCTTCTCAGACGTATTTCCTCCTGCATAAGTTCCTGCTCTGAGCCTAGGCCCTAGAGCACTTTTCAGACTTTTTTTTGACCCTCTCCCTTTGAAGAGAAGCAAACTTGTTCAATTCCAACAAAGTTTTTCCCACACCCCTTGACATACATTTTCAGGCCAACGCCCCCTGCCACTGAGGAGTTGGAAAAGTTGAGAATCGGTTACAATCTCCAAACATTTGTTTGCGCCCGTGGTGGTCATGCGCGCACAGTTACGCAGCAGATATCACCACAGCACTCTCGGAGATGCCTTGCTGTTCATCGGCATCCGCAAGAAAAAGTAATCGAGTAGCAACAGCAACCATAACATGAAGCTCTGGGAGGACCCGTTCAGCCTGGTCGATCGATGAGAATTCAACATCCACACGGCCTTCCCTAACAATACCAGTCTTTCATTTCAAAACATCTCTCAAAATGACTCGCCAAGTCAATCTACGGCCATGTAATTTGCGGACATCACTTGTAAACCTGCCGCCCATATTGTCATCTCAGCTGTCTTCGCAAGGGATTGTGAGTTTACATTTATTTGTTTATGGAATATAGCCGTTGCCTATGTTATATTTTCAGAAGCTTGTCGTACTTATGTTGTCTCCAACTTTGTGAAATGAAAATGTGTACATTTTGTTGCGACTGGGCAAATTTAGTTACCACAATCAGTAGGAATCGAGTTAAGGCAGATCGGTAGATCGAGTTCCAAGGAGTCGGATAGATCTCTTTACGTCGGATGGAGTGGATTGACCGCATCGCTAAATAATGAACGCTTTCCCAAATCCAGGAGCTCTTCGCAGAGACAAAATCCAGGTCTCTGGGGAAGCTCTACCCTCAAGAATGGACTGGAATTCATAGAGTCCTTGGAGTTGGACGAGGCACTAGCTAGCGAGATGGGCTGGAAGCAGAATGATCGGCTGTCAATCAAGTTTCACCACCACGGCATGACTCATGCCACTACTGTCAATGTCGAGCCTCTCACGATTGACGATTGGGAAATTCTGGTTGGTTCGAGCCGATTTGTCCAGTATCAGGATGCTCTCTAGGCTCGAAATAAGCTTCTGACCTATGTAATATCATCTCCAGGAGTCCAATCCACAATATCTCGAAGAAAACATCCTCAAACAAATTCGGGTACTAGTCGAATCACAAAAGTTATTGATCTGGGTGTATGACAAGACGTTAGTTCAAGTGAAAGTCACATCGGTCTTGCCGCCCTCAAGTAATTCCAAGACCGATCGTCCCGCCGCCCCCTATCTGATCACCAATGAAACTGAAATCATAGTCTCTCCAAAAACTCGTTTTGATCCATCGGTTCAAGACTCGGCGCAGCAAAATCAAATCTTAGGCGATGCTAAAGGTGTAGAGACTACAACATCCAAGGAGAGAAACCCCCTGACCAAGAAGATCGATTTCAAAATTCTTCCTCAGGCGTTTTCACTTGTTCTGGGGACCGAAGATTCTGCAGAACCGACCCCCGCCCCCGATACTACATCGAAGAAGCCTAATCAGAGCAATGTTATTGATGATTGCCCTATCGTAGCACTGAATCCTATTCAATTTTCGCAAGTGGAACGTATTTTTCCGACTACGCTTTGTTCTCTAGGTTTACTTGTTCGACCAAATCAAGCTTCCAGCTCTAAACAAACTACAACTTCAACTGCTCCTGCCACTGTACCACCTGATTTATCTATCCGTCATGGCCCCAACAAAAACTCAAAAATTAGCAAGAAACCAGAAGCAAAACCAGCATTTCCTATACCCAACATTGCCGATCGAGTGCGCCTCACCCCACATTCTGGAGTCCCGGTCGGCTTTATCTATTTACCTGTAAAATTTAGGCAGAAGTGGTTCTCAAGCCTCGCCGTTGGTCTTGACCTACGATCCTCCTTCCGACTTGATCAAGCTGGGGATTATGAATATGTCAGGTTTGTGTTTATTTCAGCTCTGTAGTCCGAGCTCCCCAAGTTGCAAAATACGCTTGGTTCAATAGTTCTGACAATTTACTGGAGTGTGATGTGATTTATAGGATTGGGCCTTCAAAAGACGCGTCTTCTGATATGAGCCAGTCAGATTTAAATGAGGCCGTCCTACCTGATAATCAACAATCCACCAGAAACAAGTCTGAAGAGTTTGTCATTTCACCCTTGTCTCAATCCTATTCTCTACGCTCTCACAACAAGTTGATCACATTTTCCTCTGGTCCATTTATTCGAAAAGGATTCTACTGCTTGGGTTTTCAGAACACTTGGATTTTTGTGAGCAGTATTTGCAGAACAGTCTAGCTGCTGCTCACCTCTTTACCCTAGGTAACTATAGAACAGGGAACCATAATCGTGTGTTTTTTTGTTGTCTCGCATAGTCGCGCATGTCCCATCCTCAAGAAATTAATGACTGGTCTCTCTTTTGGGTCAGTTGCTGGACTCATGATTCGTGGCTCATCGGGATCAGGCAAAACATCTCTAGTCAAAACTTTGATTGAAAGAGTCTATTTAGATCCCAATGCGATGATGTGTGAGTTTCCAGTTTTATTCCTGCCGCAAAGCAGAAAAAGCTGATCGATGGGGAATATTACCTCGGATTAGATTGTCGTTACATCGACTGTGGTAAACACGTTGATGATCGACTGAATGTGCTCAAGTCGAACTTCACGGAATGGTTTGATGATGCCGCATGGCATTCACCTTCTGTACTTGTCCTAGATGACCTGGATCAGCTTTTACCCGCAGAACCTGAGGTAAAGAAAAACGAAATCATAAATCATAAATGCACCTTTGGCTTATGGGTTAACGATCCTGGATCAATTTTGATCATAAAAGCATATCGATTCATTTCGGTATCGACATCTAGCTGAAGAATTCTTGTCGATTGCGAAAGCGGCAACCAAAGACAAGCTGGTTATCTTGGTTTCAACTTGCTCTAGTTCAGTGTCGATCCACAACTTATTACGCTCCGAAACCCACATATTCTCCGAAGTTCTGGAGCTAAAGGGACTTAGTCGAACCAGTCGGCGAGAGGTGATTGAGCACATATAAAATTGATCCTTCAATACAAAGTCCTACTAATCATGTTATGCCACAAATTTAACTCAACAGATCCTCACCGAATTAATCAAACTCAAAGCTGCAAAATCTGGTCTGGATATCAGTCGCATCAAGCCTGATACACTGTCTTCAGAGAAGACTGAGGGATACCTGCCGTCCGATTTGAAAGACTTGGTCGATAGAGCTGTTCACCAAGCTATCATCAGATCATTGAGAACCACCCCTCGAGAGCCTTCCAAACCAGTCTGTCCACACACTTTTCATCTGAAAGTTTCTACGGCTGGTGAAATATCACATCTAATTCAAAAAAATGGGTTGTCAGATTTCCTTGGAGTTGTCAGACTTTGAAAGCGCCCAATCCGGTTTCGTCCCAATTTCATTGAGGGATGTCAAGCTACAAAAGTCTACGGTAAACTGGTCTGATATTGGAGGTGAGTAGCGACATCATCTCTGCCAACTTTTTTGCATCGCAATGCACCAGACATGGTTCACAAAACATTCAAGAATCTGAAGACATTTCAATTTCTTCATCGCTCTAGGCTTGGTTGAAACTCGCAGAATTCTTCGCGAAACTTTAGAATGGCCGACGAAGTATCCCTCAATCTTTGCCAATTGTCCTCTCCGATTGCGTTCAGGGTCAGTCTCGGATTTTCTATGTTTACCTACGCATTATCTAACCATGCACTGCGTCCAGGCTCATGAAACACACTTCAACTTAAACTAACTATCAACAATTACACGTCGCTCTCCTTAGATTATTGCTATATGGTTATCCAGGGTGTGGCAAAACGTTATTGGCTTCTGCGATTGCAAAAGAGTGTGGCTTGAATTTCATCAACATCAAGGGTCCTGAATTATTGAATAAGTATATCGGTGCAAGCGAGCAAAGCGTTCGGGAGTTGTTCGATCGAGCACAGGTGGCCAAGCCGTGTGTATTGTTCTTCGACGAGTTTGAATCAATCGCACCAAAAAGGTACTCGAATCGATTTGATGCGCTCATGAAAAGCTGAGGCTCGTGTTAGATGCCCGACGTATTTTAATCTTATGTATTGGATCTTTAACCCACAGAGGTCATGATTCGACCGGGGTCACTGATCGCGTAGTCAATCAGCTTCTGACTCAGATGGATGGTGCAGAGGGTCTCGAAGGAGTATACGTATTGGCGGCTACTTCCAGGCCCGATTTGATCGATCCCGCATTGCTCCGTCCTGGTCGTCTGGACAAAAGTCTGCTATGTTCAATGCCGAAAGTCGAAGAGAGGCTCGACGTCAGTGCTTGCTTTATCAGTCTATTTATTGGCTTAACCTGAAAGGTCTCACACGGAATCTCTTTTACAGATATTGAAGGCAGTTTCGCGTGCATTACCTCTTGATGGTGACTTGTGCTTCGAGGAAGTGGCGGAGCTGACCGAAGGATTTACAGGGGCCGACCTTCAAGCCTTGATCTACTCTGCCCATCTCGAAGTCGTCCATGAAAGTATAAATGCGAAGACCAAATCGATCGAAGGAAAGCATCATGAGGGATACCAAAACAAGAATCAAAGCCATAAACTCCGTTGGACAGAAATCCAACCCCAACAACCTGGCTTGTTGAAGACCACTGAAGGAGCTGTCAGGAGTCTAGCCGAAAAGGAAGCCATCAGGAAAAGAGTCAGTTTCACATTTGATCGCTTTCGCTAGCGTGTGGCTTTCGTATCTTTCTGAAATACATAATGCGACATGGCAGACAAGCTAATGTTTTACGATCCATGTTTGATAAGCTTGAAGAAGTCCTAGAAAATACAACTGCTGATAAAACGCTGGCTGGCGAATCAGGCCACAAAGACATGCCAACACAGAGCCCCTCCCTGGTATGTTGGAATAATTTTTGAACCGGGTTGAATTGCATCAACTCGCTGACTTTCCCATTTTGAGTCTATTCAGAACTTAATAGAAATGCGACATGTGCGCTCGGCTCTCCGGAACGCACGACCTAGCGTCCCGGCAAAGGAATTGGCACGTCTGAGTAAAATGTGTGCATTTTTCTCCCTCCGTGATTGGTGCGATTTATTTGGCAGGCACTGATGGTGTTCACCTTTCAAATACAGCTATCAAAGCTTTGTGTCTTCAAGATCTGATGGTGGTTTGCCTGGCGGAGAAGCTAGTGAAGAAATTGGTGGCAGGGCTTCATTAATGTGAAAAGACAATTATTCAACATCAATAAGTGTATGATCTGTTATCTTTATTCTTCCCTTAATTTCCCTACTAATCAATGTTATAACACTTTCTTACAAGAAAAGAATAAATGATTTCTATTGATATCATATAAATAATGAACATCATAAGTAATTAATATTATACTTAGTAGGGCTGTGGCTGTGGGAAATCAGGCTATTTGGTGTGACAGTTAAGTCAAGCACACCAAATAAAATCCAGTGAGACTGACAAGTGGGACTGTGTGCTCCAACCTTGAGCCAGGGACTTCATGCCCACCCACACTCCGTTGGGTTTATTCAATCATTCGCCAATCAGCCAAGACGACACAACCTTAGACCATTGCAAGCATTTTACAACCTTATCTGAGACCATTTGCTCCTCATTGAATCACAAATAAAGCTCTGGAGCTTATTGAGGGAATTTGCACATATTTTCATGTTTTACACAACATGTGATGCTGGTGCAAGCCTAGGCTTCTTTCTGGATGTAGGGTCTTGTGCAGACTCTCTTCAAATGGCGGCTATGACCACCGCCCTATCCTTTCTGATGTACATATGTAGAAGGCTTTTTTGCACTTCTGACGCAAAGTTAGAGAAATACCCATGATACCGTCGCTGCATTTAATCTTAGCATCAAGACTGCATAGTGTCTCCATCCAACTGTCAAGTCTCTCTTGACATCTACGGATGCGTCATCATCCGTATGCTCGAGCAAACATGCGACTCCGCAACGGCTTACCTAGAAATAAAGCATCACTGACAAATTTGACAAGGATCTCTTCAAACCGTCAGTGGTCAAAGAAGAACCCGACACTGCGTAATGATGTCTTGAGCGACTTGTGGCTTATGTCGGGAGATGCAGGGACTAGGGAAACATACCATTGACACCCCCTTCAATAAGATTCGTTGTCGATGAACAGCTCTTTACCTTCGAATCGAGAGGGGTCCAGGCAGACATAAGCCTCTTAAGTTGGAGGGAATATCACCAACCAAATCCGCAAGTGTATCTGGTATATCGTGATTTGTGCTTGCATGTAGAAGGTTTTTGCACGACTAAAAGCTTCAAGTTGAAAATTCGAAATCAATGCAAACTGAGGGATTTTTTGCGTGTAAATTTTCTATGCTCAGTTCTTAAACTGCAGTTTGGGTTTAACATGGCACTCTAATTACACTGCTCCTGTATGTTCGGTAGTGCAACTCACTTAAGGGACCTTGGGGCAAAGCTGCATCAGTGCTTCACGCAAGAATCCACTAGCTTTCGACAAAACAAAAATGTTAAAATTGAACAGCCTCCAGTTTTCCCTCAGAGGTATTATGAAACCAGGTAGCTGATCAAAGTCAAAGTCTGGTCTATCCTCTTCACCTGTTTCAAGCGTTTTTTTCGAGTTCAAGTCCTATTTTTTAAAAAATTCTCTTTTTAAGAGAGGCCCCCCCCCCAAGTCACCCACATCACCAAATAGCAATCTTTCATTCATGATGTTTTATTCGCATCTTCACATTTCTTGGAAAATTGGTGAAATCGACTAAAGATGGCCTTCGACTTCAGTACACTGGAATTTGTTGTAAAATTGATATGAGTCGAGTATCAAGGGGTGTTTGTGTTTCCTGGCGTTCTAGATAGTTTCAAGAAAGTTAAGGCGGTAATTCCCTTTTGGTTGTTAGGAAGCGTCCTTTCTCATCGGAATAAGCCCACAGTGAAAACGATAATAGAGAACTTGAACATACATTGAGACCTGTAGGATGAACGCAGCACACGTTTGCTATGTCGCGTCCGGGAAGATTTACGCCGTGACAGGACCATGTACTGTCGGAAATTAGCGTTTGGATGGCCAAGGCGACTTGAATTTCGGTTAGGGAGGGTCGTGTGCATCCAGAAATGAAAAGGTAAGAAGTTGTGGCAAGAGGTGAAGATCAGCCTATCTGACCATAATATCCTTCATATGACGGTTCGAAGGTCAACCTACAAGTATATTTCATGGGGGAGACAGAGATGTCTTTGTTTACACAGTATGGGTACGTCGAACATTCGAAGTAGGGGGTGTTGGCGGTGCAAGCAACAATTAGATACATGAAGACTACCAAGGGACCTTTGGAGATGCCTAGAAACTGCATTTTCGTAAGTCTTGATGAGGTGGGTGACTTTTAGTTAGATTGGAGAAAAGGCGGTGGTGGAAGGATGGACCAGGTGGGAAGGGTTATGTATAAATTATATAGAAAATTGTTTGTGTGACTGGGTTCTACAGAGACAAGCCACAGTCATCCTACATAGTGGCACCAAGGAAACGAGTCGACTGAGCTCACGTGGTCTGTACAGCACAGGCAGGCGAATCCTGAAAGGACCCCGGCAAGCCCCCCCAGAGGTTCGTAGGGTCCCTGCGAGACGGCGTCCCCTTAGATACAAAAGCTCTATCCTCTTCACCTGTTTTAAGCCGTTGTTTCGAGTTCAAGTCCTGTTGTAAAAAAAAATCCCTTTTTAAGAGAACGATTGTCCATTTCTTCTCGCAGTTCTACCGGCAGCATCGAGCATGAACTCCCTGCTAAAACCACAAGTAACCGAAGAAGGCCACGCTCCGGAAATCATCTACAATCGCGCCGTGAACGATGAAGAGGAAGTGAATCGCGAATACACTATACTCACATGGAGTGACAGACTCTTAACCTCTGCAGGCGATAAACACCCCGTGACAAAAATACTCAACTGGGTTCCAAAGGGCCAAGACATATTGAGTGCCAAACCCATCATCTCTGTCAAGCATCACACCACCAACAACATTGTAGAATTGAATAACCTATCAGACAAATGTCTGCAGGTCAAAGTGGTGAACACGGTCGAGGAAATGGGCTTCTTGTTCCAAAGGAAAGAAGTTAAACATGTCTTCAACTTTGAGATAAAGAGAGGCGAACAGAAGATTCTCAATGCCAGAAAATCTGGCTCCATGTACTCTAGGGACAACAAGACAAAATCTCCAGTGAGTCATTAACCATTGATTCACATTTTTGTCTAAGAAAAAAAAATCACAAAGAAAGAATAGAAATGATTTTCTTCTGATCTATCTATCTATCTTTATATATATTTTGTTGCAATAGGGAGATACATTTTTTCTTGATTTAACAATCAAGATTCATGAAGAAGAGCCAGAGAGGAAAGCTGTGGATTCACATAACTATAATGTGGACCCCTCAAAGGGATTTTAGAAGATTTGCTTTGGACTGACCTTTTCACAAAGGATAGCTTTGCGAACCTCACCATGGCTTCTTCTGCAATTTGGTTGCTATTTGATCAGTATTTGGATTTTATCTGCATCTTCCATAGTGTTTGATTCTAATTATGATATTTCATATTCCCCACATTTCTAAATTTTTTTGGGGAAGGCAAGGTCAGTCCCAAAGGCCTTCCACCACCAGATGAAAAAAGGGGACATCTGAATACCATACATTGCATGCAGCTAAAATGGTTCTTTTAACACCACAACAGATCAATAAGCTTCCTCCACCCTACAAAGTCCAACTTTTTTTTGGCTAATCCAATTAAGCTCGATTGTATCTATCCCAATTCCAATTGATTTCTCCCAAACTTCTTCATTCAGGTAAAATGTAGAGTGAAAAAAAAAATATTCAATGGAGCTCCCGAGTCCCAGGCGAAGTAGTTTTTCCATAAATATTTACGTATCTTTTAAAAAGGGGCTTGGAAAAACGACTCCTAAAAATTAGTCGACGACTCCCGTTTTGGTCGGGAGGTCGTCGAACGGGAGTCGTTCTTCCAATTCCCCCCAAAAAAAGGGGAGTCGTCGTCCTAATTTCAATGGCGATTTTTTAATTTTTTTTATTAAAAAAATGGGAGTCGCCCGCCTAAAGGGCGGGAGTCGTCGTACCAATTTAGCCCAATTTTTTTTATTTTTTTTTATTAAAAAAAATGAGAGTCGCCCGCCTAAAGGGCGGGAGTCGGCGCCCCAATTTGATCCTTAATTTTTTTGATATTCTTTTTTTTCGTCTCGCAGGAGTCGTTGGACAATACCTAGGAGTCGGCTGGGGAGAAGAAACCTTGTTTCTTCTCCCACGCAGGAGTCGCCGCTCCACACCCACCCATATCCTCCCCTCCTCCGATATCCACTCCCCCCACCCACCCAACCAACTACCCAACCACCCAACCACCCAAGCAACCAACCACCCACCCACCATGTCCAACCCCAACCCCACCATCCCCGCGCTCGCGCCACCGAAGGACGCCGCCGACGGGCTCCAGCCCTTGATCGACGCCGCCGAGGTTCCCGCGGCTGAGGCTGCCGCCCAATCGTCGAAGGACCCCGCCGACGGGCCACAGCCGCCGAAGGTGACTGCCGAGGCCACCTCCGACAGGCCACAGCCGCCGCAGGTGACCGCCGACGGATCCGAGCCGCCGCAGGTGACCGCCGAAGGTCACCGCCGATGGACCCGAGCCGCCGATGGTCACCGCCGACGTGCGCCAGCGGGAACAGCTGGTCGTCATCGGGGTCGGAAACCCCGCAGGAGCCACAGGAGTCGTCGCGGAGGTCGCCGCTGGGGCAACGGGAGTCGTCGCGCCCGGGACGGGAGTCGTCCACGCCGGAGAGGGAGTCGCTGCCCGAGAGACGGGAGTCGTCCACGCCGGAGAGGGAGTCGCTACCCGAGAGACGGGAGTCGTCACGCCGGGGACTGCCGTCGTCGGTGCAGGGGCGGGAGTCGCTAGCCCACGGAACGGAGTCGTTGCCGCCGCCCCCGCCACCGGACTCACCTTGGCCCCGGGAGTCGTCGCTCAAGAAACGGGAGTCGTCGCGCAAAAAACGGCAGTCGTCGGGCCAACTGCGGGGGTCGTCGCCACCCAGACCGCAGTTGTCAACCCCCCCAACCCGGCCGAGCATGATACAAGCCTCTTGGCCCCCGTAGGAGCCGTCATCCCTGGTGCCGATTCCGAAACCGAACTTTTCTCCGGAACCCGCACCACGGTTGCCCCCAACGGCGTCAAACCCAAGGAAACAATCCGCCCTGTCACCGGACCCCCTGAAAACCAACGACCCCCCCCTGTCAAACCCAAGGCCACAGCACCAGTCAGCCCCATCACCACTGAAGATGAACAAGAATCTGATGACAATCACGCAGAAACCGTTGAAGATGACAAAACGGTAACCATCGAAAAATGCTTAGAGCTACTTGCAAGTCAAGCCGACAAGCACACTGGCGACAACGCTGAGGAGGACGAGCCCGAGTCAGACACGGAAGATAAGACAAATAAAACAACAAAGACCCCAACCATCCCCCCAACACCAGCGCAAGCACCACATACCGACATACCCGCTCCTCCTGCGGCCACTTATTCCGACCCATTGATCCTCGAGCACTCCATCAAAACCTTCGCTCGAGAAAATGGTTTTGTCATTGTCAGGAAGAGGACTGTTCCTGGGAAGAGTATCACTTTCAAATGTGACAGGTAAGTCCTCCTTCTGCATAGCACTCAAATTGTAGCTCATGCTCAATGGCTGTCCTTTATCTCCATCTTATGTGTAGGGGTGGTAACCCAGCTCGAGACAGACGGAAAAACGACACACGCTCCGGACCCATCGTCAGTCGACTGATCGATTGCCCATTTGACGCGAGGGCCAAGATCCAGATGAAGGCTGGGGGGGAATGGAAGTTTACCATGGCCGATCCCCAACATAATCATGCACCCAGCGAAGATCCGTCCGCGCACACCGCCAACCGAAAACTCTCGAAGGAGCTCTATGAGCAAATGAAGCAACTAGGCGATGCGGGATTAACACCGGCCCAGACTCTTCAATCACTCAAGAAGACCAATCCCGATAAGCCGATCTTGGCCACCATTTCGACCGTTTACTCTGCCAGAAAGAAGGCTTGCGCAGAAGAGTTACGCGGAATCAGCCCGATTGTTCATCTGAATCAAACCCTCACAACAGCCTTCACCTCAGCAACCAAGGTAAACGATTCTGGCAAATTTCTCGGTCTTTTCTTCTGTCACAACCACTCGCTTCACCTCCTCCGTCATTTCCACTATGTCTTATTCCTCGATTGCACCTACAAGACGAATAAGTATTGCATGCCCCTCCTGCACATTGCCGGCGTCACTGGATCCAACAAATCCTTCAGTGTCGCCTTTGCTTTCCTTCATGAAGAAACCGAACCATACTACGAATGGGCTCTTCAATCCCTGCTCAACGTGTTCACCAGCAACGACATTCCGACACCTGAGGTAGTCTTGACCGACCGGGAACAAGCTCTTATGAACAGTCTCGACTCCGTTTTCCCCACAACGAAGCATCTACTGTGTACCTGGCACATCAACAAAAACTTGGTTTCTAACAACGCCAAAATGATCAAGGACAAGAAGAAAGAGGCCGATATGATCCAACACTGGAAGAATGTCATCAACATCACGACCACTGGCGACTTTAGGGCTGCGTTCAACCAATTTGCTGGAAGTTATGGCGACAAATTTGGCAAGTAGATGCGCTCAAACTGGCTCCCAGTGGCGGAGAAATATGCGAACGCCTGGACAAGGGAAGTTACCCATTTCGATCACCGGACAACATCTCGTATCGAATCGTCGCACTCATTTGTCAAATCACATCTTCTTGGTCCGAATCAATCCCTCAACTCCACCATCAAAATGATTACCAACGCAATTGAAAAACAAGTACACGATGTAAAGCTCAAAAGTGTTTGTGAAAACCTTTTGCTGAGTGTGGAAAGGGATGAATGAGGATACCTCTGCCTTTCCTGGATCACTAGACACTAGACAAGCCCACCAATCTCAGATTGGAAGGTTTAATAAAGTGATAGTGGAGTGTATCAAAAGATAACTGTGGCTTAACAGGTGGACAAAGGGTTTAACCCAGTTTTATATAGGTCTAAGAGGTTGATTTGAGAATGAGAGAGTGAGTCTAGCTGATATTTCAATGGTAAGGGGATGGTATGTAATGGTATGTAAGGGTTTGTAAGTGTCAGCCTTAGAGCCAGCCAAGCTGGCCAAAAGACTGCCTAAATCCCCCACGTCCATTCAAAATATTATCATATCTTTTTTACCTGAAGACTTTTAGCTTTTCTGACTTCAGAATTGGATTCCTGGTGTAAAATTAACCCTAGTCACCACTGACCACTTTTACACTACTCCAATCCTTCACTGACTTTGTAATATTTCAGAGTACTTATGAAATATCCACGTACCTTGAGCTTCAGCTCCTTCTACCACATGTACATACAATTATTACGTAATCCAACTCTGAAAATCCTCTCTGAGCTTGTTGATTCCGCTTCCAGAGGATTTTCAGACTCCAGACCAACACAGAACCACAACAACCAGACCCAGATCAAGCCATCACTTATCAACCAGAAGTACTCCACTTTTCCCACCTTTCCCACTACACAGTGTCATTGGTGTCATTAGTAAGTAACTTCTCATAAGTTTTAGCTAGCATCTTTCTGCTTGTTTCTTTCTCTGTCTCTCTCAACCTCTTTCACTTCTTCTCCAAACCAAAGCCCTGATCAAAGAAAGCATGCTCTAGCTTCTACTATCTCAATTCTTCCTGTTTGGTAGTACAACTGAAAACTACATAGGTTTCCCTTTAAAGAGCCTTGATCTTTGATCTAAAAAATTGTGGTTGACCTGATTCTTCAGTGTCAATAACCCATTTCAGTTTCTGTTGATTTGGAGGCGTCAGAGTTAGCTCCGCTTATAACAGCCATCCTAAAAAGGAAAGTAAGACTGTCAGCAGCCATCCAAAAAGGACAGTAAGACTGCCAGAACCATAATCATCATCATGAAAGAAATAAAGAACAAAAATATTACCCATTTCTTTCACTCTTCTTCTTTCCTTTCTTCTACTTTTATTTGTATCCCTCTTCTATTAAGAAATACATATAAAAGTGCCCCCCATATCTTGTGTCCTGCTGTCACTATAGAGACCCAGGCTCACAATTGGGGGCCTCATCGGGAAATCTTATTCCAAGACCTCTTATAATCATACTCTCACTCTTAAAAATTGATCAGGCCTAAAAAAATAAAAATACAATAATAATCAACAGATAATTTTTTTATTCTGTTATCATTCTATTTCTATTTAGAAATTATCTTCAAAAAAGGAACAAACATAAACCTTTTTTTTATCTCCAAAATCTCATCGCGGAGCGCTCGATAATTTTGCGTAGTGCTCGCAAACTCTTTATCT